GAGAGGTCTCACAGCCTCAGGCTCTAAGAGAGCTGCAATTGCACCGCCCCTTAAACTCACTTCACTGGCTTCAGGCTTTCAAATGAGTCTATTCCTCACAAGTGAGCAAAAAGCCAAATCATTCAAATCATGAAAATATTTTGTTGTTGCTAACAGACTATTTTTATTCATAATTAAGGGTACTGCTCGGAATAAAAAAAAAAAAACCTGTTGCATCTCACTTATTAAGGCACTGCCCATGTGTTACCACGCTCAGTAAGTTCAGTTCAGGTTGTGGAAGTTAAAACACAATCATTCAGGAGGACATGAGTTTCAGATTTTACAATTTCAAATGAATTCCACCAGGAAGATTACAGAAAAACAAGCAAAGACTATTCAACTTACCATAGTAGGTGCTTGCAGTCATTGACATAATCCAGAAAGCCAAGGAAATGCAAATGATCAGGCTCAAGATAATTATGTTAGTTATCATCTTTATGTATCTTTCGCATAGATTATCGTCCAGATCTGTCATGGAAAATAAGGATACGAGCACCTAATGGAGAAGAGACAGCATTTCTGAAAGAAACACACAGTCACTCGGGCTACTAGCAAAAGACTCGTTTAGAGGCAGACAAACGGCGCCTTCCACCAACCGAACAAGAAAATGGTATTAACTTGAACTGGTGGACGTTAACACATCGGGGGACAAGCAGGGTGCATCGTGTCTGAAGCCCAGGGCTGCTGCCGCCGGTCGCCTGAGCGCCGACACCAGGAAGGAGAAAGCGACAGCCGCCGCGGCCAATCGGCGCGCGCGTGGCTCCGAAGTCCCGCCCCCGCCGCCGGCCGGGCCTCCTCAGCGCTGGCGGACACTCCCGCCTGAGGGCCTCGCGGGCAGCGCCCCGCACGGCCGCGCGTGACCACGCCACGCCACGCCCCGACGTCCACGCTGCCCTGACCAGGGCCGAAATCTGCCCCCCCCCAGCCCAGCGCGGGCCTGGCCTCGCCGCCACCTCCTGGGCGCATGCGCGGCGGCCGCCCACCTGACGCGAGCGTCTGAAGGGCGTGCTGCTGCAGGGCTCTGGAAACCCGGGAGCCACACTGGCTGTGCCGCTTCTCGGTAGGCGAACTTCCAGAAGTCTAGGACCTTGGCGTTTGGGGGGCAACCAAAAGCCAAAAATGAAGCCACCGCCAGGGTGCCAGTGAATTTAGACCCACTAAGCTCTTACATGCGTTATTATCTGAGTGTTTTTTAATCTATGAGGGGTTCCTGCCAAGTAATGTCCTGGATTTTGGGGAATAATTTCTAGGATTGGAATTTTGTGATTTAGAAAGTAATTTAAAACAGTATAGTACCTGTGGTGTGCCAGATTTTACTGGCTGCTCCAGAAAAGATAAAGCTAAATATGGTTCCTGCTGTTGAGCTTTGTCATTTATCCTAACACTTGCTTCCTTCAAAAAGTGTGTGTATTCAAGGCAATTCAGTTAGAAAGCTCAACATTTTGTTAGCAATGCAACTCTTGTGACTGATTTTACATGTTATTTGAAATTGTTTGTTTGCCTTGGTTAGCAGCAAATGTCTTATAGTTTGAACTTTTCAGCCAGCTGCTAATAGTGTAAGAAGTGTTTCTAGGGCCTGGTGTAGCGGCCTAGTGGCTAAAGTCCTCACCTTGAATCTGCTGGGATTCCATATGGCCACCAGTTCTAATCCTAGCTGCTCCACTTCCTATCCAGCTCCCTGCTTGTGGCCTGGGAAAGCAGTCGAGAACGGCCCAAAGCCTTGGGACCTTGCACCCACGTGGGAGGCCCTGGCTCCTGGCTTTAGATCGGCACAGCTCTGGCCGTTGTGGTCACTTGGGGAGTGAATCAACAGACGGAACATCTTCCTGTCTCTCTTCTGTGTATATGTGACGTTGCAATTAAAAAGAAAAAGGGTTTCGGACCTAGTACAAAGTTCCAGGAGCCTGGGAACTCCTCTGGGTCTTCTCCCATGGGTTGGTGGGCGCCACCAACTTATCATCTGCTGCCTTTTGCAGGCATATTAGCAGGGAGCTGCATTGGAACCCAGCAGCAATGGTGCCAATTTACAAAGGACCCATAAATCCACAGCAGTGCCACAATGCTGGCCCGTGCAACATTTTTAAACTCTATTTTCCCCAAGATGTTAGCAGGTGTGATATTCCCCCACTGCTACTTCTGATCAAATTTAAAGTTCAGATTGTTTCCTCGTGCAGTGGTTACATTAGAATTCTTTCATCACAGTTCCACTCTTGGTATAAACTAACTACACCTGTCTGAGACTTATTTTCATACTCACAGAACAGAGAACTCACTTGTATTATTCTTTAAATTCTATAACATATATGACTGCTTAAGTATTCTTTAATATAAATAAGTTTGAATTTCTTTAGCATAGATGTTTGGTCCTTAATTACATAAACCATTTACTATTTGTTATTAAAATGATCAGTGGCTTCTACGTACGGTGCTTCTGAATCTAAGCTGAAGTTTACATTTTCTGAAATTGGCTAATGAGTTTTCTTATGTTAGATTCTTGAGTCCCAGAAAGCAAGCAAAAAATACACAGCTTTTCCCTCAGAGTAGGGGAAATGAGCGTAGGGCACTGTGGTGTAGGTCAAGCTGCCACATGTTCTTGCACTGGCTGCTCAACTTCTCTTTCACCCAGCATCCTAACGCCCCTGGGAAAGCAACAGCAGATGGCCATGTTGGACCACAGAGAATCCCCGCCCTGCTTCTGTCTGAGCACCCCCAGGCATAATGGCCATCTGCAGGGATGATGTAGGGTATGGAAGATCTCTCTGTGACTCTTGACATTCAAATCAATCAATCAGTCTTTAAAAAGTAATGTTTTGATAATCATATCTAATGTCTATGGCCATAGCACCCTGAACGTGCCTGATCTCATCTGATCTTGCAAGTTAAGCAGGACTGGGCCTGGTTAGGATGGATGGGGGATAATCATACCTAAATTGTAGGAGTCTCAAATAAGTGCCAAGAGAGACTACTACAGAGAATTTTTATAGCCCCTCATGTATATGATCTAGATTGCATAACTTATATTTAACAGTGCAAATAAAGTAATGTTTACTCAGATACAATTGAATAATAAAAATGAAAATAATTCCTCTTTAAGGCCTTCGCTACATTTTTTTTTCTTTTATACTTTGCTTCATTTTAGGGAGTTCCTGAGGTGTCTTTCAGGGAGTCAGCTGGGGGAACAACTTGCACAACAATATTTGTGGACAGTTTCTAGAAACAACAAACCCGACAATAATTTCCTTGGAGAAAAGTTTTTAATAGCAACATTGTTAGAATACATTTTAAAGCATATGGAATTGTTCAATACATATTACAAAATCCTTAATTTTAGAAATAACTATCAAAAGAATCCCACTTTCTGGTGTAAACATGAACCATTTTCTGTTACATCAAAATCAACATTAACCCGTATTCTATACTAGAAATGAGACTGAAAAAAGTATAAAAGTTACCTGGAAAATATTAACAGTGACCTCAGATGGTACCTTTCTGAATTTTATTATGTTTTTTGAGTCACGTGATTTATCCTCTGTTTACAACATGATCCATATGTCCAATGAGAGTTACTCTGCGGGAGGTGGAGCTTTGGAAGCAGATCTGTGCTCAGTTTAGAACTTTCTAGATCACAGGTAGTTCTAGCCCTTGTGCACATTGACACATAATAGGTAAGTGTCCAAATAAATACACTTGCAAAGACTTGTTCATGTGTAAATCAGAGAATGATACACAAAATGTTTGCATGAAAAAAAGAGAATGAGTACCAAAATACTTCCTAAGACTGAGACAAATTTTTTAAAAAAATCTGGATTAATAGGGTTTATTATGTACAAAGCATCAAATTTCAAATAAACTCTAGTACTTTGCCTTGACATGGTATTTTAGGTGCATCTTTAACATATCTATAATTGGGATTTTTCTTTATAAGGATAACATTCAAATTCTTCAGTTTTTTTTGAAGGATAAAAGTATCTTGGAATTTATTAAATATATCACTTCTTGATGTAAATACCAATGTCCTACTTCCTTTGGTAAATCATAGGACATCAGTTTATTTAAAAAATTTTTCGATTTTAAAAGGTTCTAAAGTTGGGACTGGTACAATAGCTTTACTGGCTAATCATCTACCTGCAAATGCCGGGATCTAATATGGGCACCAGTTCGTGTTCAGGCTGCTCCGCTTCTCATCCAGTTCCCTGCTTGTAGCCTGGGAAAGCTGTGGATAATGGCCCAAAGCCTTGGGGTCTGCACCCACATGGGAGACCAGAAAGAAGTTCCTGGCTTGTGACTTCAGATTGGCCTACCTCTAGCCGTTGTAGCCATTTGGGAAGCGAACCAGCAGATGGAAGATCCTTCTTTCTGACCCTCTTTATCTCCGTGAATCTGCCTTTCCATTAAAAATAAATAATTAACAAATTAATAAAATAATGTCCTAAAGTTGATTTGTTCTTAGAGTTCCAATCCAATAGTATCTACCAAAACATACCTTTGTACTTAATTATTTTCTAATATTTATCATATTGTTTTGTTTCTCTCAGGAGACAGAACTGCAAGGCAGAAAACCATGTTTTACTCATTTGTGGTCCTAGCCTTTGGCTTGTTCTTTGTAAAACACCGTGAATTGGGCCCGGCGTGGTGGCGCAAGTGGTTAAACGTCCTCGCCTTGCACACCCGGGATCCCATATGGGCGCCGGTTCTAATCCCTGCAGCCCCACTTCCCTTCCAGCTCCCTGCCTGTGGCATGGGAAGGCAGTCGAGGACGGCCCAAAGCTTTGGGAACCTGCACCCACGTGGGAGACCCGGAAGAGGCTCCTGGCTTTGGATCGGCATAGTATCGGCCCGTTGCGCTCACTTGGGGAGTGAATCATCGGACGGAAGATTTTCCTCTCTGTCTCTCCTCTCTGTATATCCGCCTTTCCAATGAAAAAATAATAAAAATAAATCTTTAAAAGAAAAAAAAAACACCGTGAATGAACTCAGGATCTGCTTTGTGTCCAGCAGAGGAAAATCACTGCAGTTCTGATTACGTTTGGTATTTGGTTAGAATGACAAGAAATCTATCACGAAACAGAAGATTTTAGGATTCCTGTTGTATTTTACGCTTTAATGCTTTTAAAAATATTATACAACAGAATTATTATAAATGGGAACTTTGATAAATTGATAAAATAGTGTTTGCTTTTTTATTTGGGGTACGGCGGTGAACTACACGAATCTCTTGGAAACCAGTTTATGCTACAATAATTGGCCCAACTTAAATTTTGACTTATGCGGATACAGTTGATCTTTGCAAACAAATTTATACTACTGAAAATATATTTGAAACCATATTAGAAATACATAATTACAATTTCAAAGAACTATATCCAGTACTAAAATGACTAAGAAATATCATCCATAGGATTTTCATAAAATGTTATAAATGCCTTACAAGAACTAAGACAGTTTCTTCCGATCTTTGTATTTGCTTGAAACGTTTCTTATTAAAACAGTGCTAATACTGTAAAAATAGTGTTGCTAGAATCCAAATAAAATAAAATTTAAAAGGGGGTGGGGAATCCAAATAGTTGACAAAGCAAAAGATAAATGACCCCCCCCTTTTTTGTTATCACAGTAGCTGTTACTTTACAGGAAAGATTTATATCAAGTTATGATTACCAATATACTTTCATTGGTAGTATCCAAGCTTTAATTAGGATTAAATAACTTGATATACACTAATAAGCTTTTATATGATTTGACAAAAGCTGTCTGAAGGACAGAATTTTTATTAAATATTTGGTGAAATAAGGCAAACACTATTATAGTCATGTGGCAACTATAAAGTTAATATTATAAAATCATTAGCATTTGCATAGCTTTATCAGACATATAAGAACTATACTTCATTTCCCATATGCACTATGGTTGCTCTATTTTACTCATTGAAAAAGGAAATAAAAAACAAGCTTATGTGTAAGACAGATCCCGTTTTAAGTTACGAATTATAAAGATATAATATGGTGTTTCTATGATTAAATTTCACTGCTGGTTTATGAAGGAGAGAAAAAAGGCCTACCACACTGACACATTATTTCTGAGGTACAGAATGTATCTAGAATGTTAAAAAATGAAAGAAAACAAAAAGTTTAAAGAATTTCAGCATCAACACATATGGTAGTAGAGTGGTTGCTAATGCAGAACTTGCTAACACATGCTTACTAATGCATCCATTTTGAAGCATGAAATGTAGTATTTTTTTAGATTTATGTGTTTCTCTGTTGTTTAAGGTAAAGCTAGATCCTGAAATTTATATAATTTACATGTTTTCTTATGAGACGAATATAATCAGCTACCAATTTTTATCAGTCTGAGGTTCTTGAGGCCTTATCTAATTTGATAATTCAAGGGCATTACATACTCTAAAATATTACTCTCAAAACACTTTACAATCTATTTTTAAAACTTAACATTCTTATGAATAAGGCCAAAATCTCACTTTTGCTGGCTAAAAACAAAACAAAACAAAATATATCAAGTTTAAGTAAAAGGACCCTACCTCAGGCTTCTATAAATTTTTCAGACCACAGTGCCAATAAAAACATAATTAGTACAAAGTCCAATAGTTTGAAGGTTCCATTTAATGTTGGTTAAGTCCTAATCTTATTTAGAATGTAGTTTCTTAACTTTGGTATACAACAAGAATTCTTTTTCTAATATAAATTACACTTATTACTTGTCACAGGTTATTCTTCAACAATAGCTTAAACAAAGACAGACAAAATTTGCAAACATAATTTCCTGGCAAAACTGTTCATGTAAATCTAATGTAAGGCACTTCCAATAATTTTCAAATAAAGTCTCATAAAAAGGTTTTGATTATTTTGTAATCAAGTATTCTTGAGCTGTACAGTAATGTTACTTCAAATAAAACTTTATTAATAATTTCCTTAAATAGCTTTGCCTCCAAAAAGACTGAAAGATGGACATCAAGTCCTGTCAAAGCTAAACTTAAGTGACACTGCCCTTCATCTGTGTCAGATTTAGATGACTGCCAATGTTTTATCTTGCTGCTCTTGTCCAAGAATCTTGAAATCCTCCAAGGGAAGACTTTTTAAGGCAGTTGGTAAGATGTGTTCTGATGTGCCCCTAGGTAACAGGTTATTAGCTTCTAAATTCTTCACCAAGCATGTGGCTTGAATCCATCTATGAGTTGCTCTACGTTCTTTCTGTAGGCAAGTTTTCATTTTTCTCCTCAAGTTTGCTATTTCTTTTTCCAGTTTAATTATCCTCCTTTTGGCTTCCATTGGATTCCTAAAGGCATAACTGTGTTCAAGTAGTACTTGTTGATTACTTAGGCTTGATTTTAAATTAGATGGTCCAGATGGAGTACAACTGTTGTTTTCCTTCAAAAGATTCTTTGACTTGAGTTTCTGATCCAAATAAAATTAAAGGGTTGAACACAAATTAGGGATGTTATAAATAAGTATATACTGTCACTTTGGGTAAAACTGCTTTAAAAGTCTAATGGGAAGCAACAGCAGTCCATCTCATATAATCACTGATTAAGAATCTCAAACTGTTGAATATACTCTAGTCATCTATTTCTTTTTGTCATTTCTCTCTGGAGAAATTGAAAATGTATTTGCAACAGTGAATCTCCAAGGTCTCTTCCAAAATATTAAGTCTGTATAGACTTACCAACTTTGCAATTCTGTTACCAAGGCCCATTTAGAATGTGTCAACATTTTGTTTAATTGTGATACAGGCTTAATTCTCTTTTTTTACTTAACAAAAATTTAAGAATCTAAAGAAACATTCTCAAAAATTAAGCTTCAAAAGATATATTTATTAATTGCTCACAGTAACACCTTTAAGAATTTAAAATCGGAAAGCTGGTTTTGGGGTATGACAGGCTAAGCCACCACCTATAATACCAGATTATATATGGGTGCTGGTTTCAGTCCTATCTACCTCACTTCTGAATCAGCTCCCTACTAATTTTCCTGGCAAAGTATCTGATTCCTGATCAATTTCTCCTCCATATTTAAATTCTCATATTCTGTCACTAGAATAATTTTTTCTGCAGATTTCATCTTCTCATGTTGGTTCAATTCTTCCTTGTCTACCTATTATCTAAAGGAAAAAAATCATTGCATAGCACATTACACTATTTAGCATCTTGTTCTATTTATCATTCACTGTCTTGACTGTACTCGAGCAATACTAAAACATTTATAATTACCAGATTATATAACATTCTCATAATTTTGTCTTTCACTCATTAAATAAACATTAGTTGAAACAATCTGAGTTTCTGCAGACATGACAGTGAACACATAAGACAAATATATTATCTGTTTTGGTGATCCCTCAGTCCCTGGTTATAGGAACTGTCAGGGATTCATTTTTTTTTTTTTTAGGTAGAGACAGACAAACAGACATATGTCTTCACTGCTTCTTCACTCCCCAAATGCTCACAACAGCCTTGAACTCACATGAGCCTTGAACTCAATCTGGGTATCCCACAGGGCAGCAGAGACCCAAATACCTGGGCTGTTACTGCTGTCTCCCAGGGAGCACACCAGCAGGAGGCTGGACTCGAGCAGAGCCGGGGCTCAATTCCAGCACTCTGATACAGGCATCTGAACTGCTATCTTCACTCACTCCATGGACTTTTGATCTTATTATCCACAGCATTTGTCTTAGATTGTAGCATAATGTTAAGTTTGGTATTCACTGAATGAGTAAATGACCAAAATGTCAAGAATGACACACATTTCAGATTTTATCAAATGAAGTGTACGATGTGCTAGGCACGCTCTGAAGTGAGAAGAAATCAGAAAAGAACATCAGGAGAACTGACATTGTGGTACAGTGATTTAGGTTGTCCAGTTTTTTTTTATAAAGATTTATTTATTTTCATTACAAAGTCAGATATATAGAGAGGAAGATCTTCCGTCCGATGATTCACTCCACAAGTGAGTGCAACGGCAGATGCTGTGCCGATCCAAAGCCAGGAGCCAGGAACTTCCTCTAGGTCTCCCACGCGGGTGGGTACAGGGTCCCAAAGCTTTGGGCTGTCCTTGACTGCTTTCCCAGGCCACAAGCAGGGAGTTGGATGGGAAGTGGAGCAGCTGGGATTAGAACCGGCGCCGATATGGGATCCCAGTGCGTGAAAGGTGAGGACTTTAGCCGTTAGGCCACCGCACCGGGCCCTAGGCTGCCCACTTGTGATGACGACATCCGATATCCTGTCTTGCCAGCTAAACTTCCAACCCAGAGAGCCCCGCTCATATGCCTGGGGAAGCAATGGCAGATTGGTCCCTGCTACTCATGTTGGAGTTCTACACTCAGAACTCGGGCCCGGCCCAGTGCTGCCCAGTTCAGTCATTTGGGGAGTGAGCCAGTGAGTGGAAGAGCTTTCTCTGTGTGTCTCTTGCTGTTAAAGCAATAAATCATTTTAAAAAATGAATAAAGTTCTCTTCCAGAGATTTTCTAACATGTGAAAATGTGTTTATTTCAGACTTCTCTCCCATTTACATATTAACTCGTGTATATTCACTATTTAACTCACTCTTAGGCAGTGTTTTTTTCCTTCTCTCAGAGGAAAAGATTGTCCTTTTCAAAGTTAAACCACCTGTGCTCATTCTAGTCCTTATCTCTTGGCAACCTTTTCTCAGCTTGTTTTTTTCTCACTGAAAAAACCAACGAGGTTTACCTAACTAGGTAAAATAATTTTCATTCTGTGCCTTTTCTATTTCCTTTCACTTGCTAACATTTGATCACTTTCAATTTATACTTCAACCCACAGGTTTTGTTCTAATCTTGAAACTCCAGGTGTTCTATGCAAGGTCAAGCACCCTCTCAGGGTTCCAATCCAGATCTTCAAGCCCAGCTAGAATGCCGGAGTTCTATGAAGTTTTCTGTCACATTTCATTCTGAATTTTGATTCTTTAAGGTAATCCTGAGAGTATTACTCATAAAGTACTTAGCACTATTTGCCTATTATCTTAAAATAAGAGCAGAGTGAGAATCAGATATTTTATTATTCATTTTGCAATTTCACCAGTAGTGCATTTATTCTTAACAACTGATAAGCGATGTAAAACTCCAGTACAGTAAAAACAATTTGGATTCAGGAAAGGAAATTGGGGTCAAGAAACCTGAGCTCTGTCTACGGAACTGTATCATCAAATAGTAAATTAATTAAAAAAAAAGTATAAAAAGAAACCTGAGCCCTAATTCTAGTCTTAATCTCTATTGTGCAATAGCACAGACTGCAACTTTCTTGAGTAATATTGCTATACATGGATGTTACTATATTCTAAGTTGTTATATACACAAAACAAAATGGGCTCTAAAAAGGTAAAAGAAGAGGAATATTACCTACCATAGACTTTATACGGGTACAAAAATCAAAAATGGTTGGAACAGCATCCATTTTAAGTCGTCGAGTTTGTCCTGTTAGGTCAAAACAAGAGGCTTCAAAGTGCTTTGAACAAAGAAAAGTATGTTTTCCTGGCACAAAATTTTTGCGCCGAACCAGGCGAATCCATTCCTGTCTTCTTTTAGGATCCAAAGGAAACCTTAAAAAACAAAAACAGTTCAAGTGTATCATACATATATGATGTACCTAAATTGCTACAAGAAATTTAAGAGGTGATGAATTAAGCTAATGCCCATTTACATAAGAAATTTAATGTAATATGCAAATACTGAAACAAAATTCATGCTAATCTTTATTAAGTTGGAAAAAACTAGCAAAAAATTGATTTGAGTGATTTTAGTTTTCAGGACTTCTACAATAGATATGTTGTTGTGTATTCCTTAACATGGGAGGTAAAAGAAAAAGACACTAAATCGATCTAGAAAAAGTTTATATAAAACAGTTATATTCAGAAGTAATTTCACAGTGCATTGATCTGCTGCTGGTATATGTAGTCAAGAGAAATCAATTGTCTAAAGACTGAGTTTTATCAGAAAAAGCTAGGGCAGATTGTGGTACTTCTTCCTCTATGTTCTGTTCTTATGACACCTAATTTAAAAAATTTTAGTACATTTCCAATGAAACAAAAAATTAAGTTTAAGGAAGCTATCATTACTACATCTTTTCACCTATTCAACATGTAGCACAATGCTTTGCAAAGTAGAGATTTAAAATTTGCTTAGTTAATATAAATACCAAATATTTAAATTAGTAATTACTTCCATGTAGTTAAACTACATTGATTTAAAAAAAAAAGTTTAAATTTCATAGCAGAGCAAAAAAGCATGATTATAAAAAGGTAGAAACCTTTGTAGCAATGTTTTTCTCCCCATATTTATTCAGATTACAAAATATACTCATTTGTCTCCAGTGTACCTGTTAAGGAAGAGAAGCATATAGGGCTGTCTCTAAGGCTCTGCTCGTGGACTATGCTGACAGACTGAACACTGTGAAGTCCAGTGCCTCACGCAACTATCATAGCCTATAAGAATTAATTATGAAGTAACTGGTGTTCAGAAGGTATCAGAAAGCCATATTACAAGATTAGGAGGCCCCAAAAGAAACTGTATCACATACACAGCTGCCCCTTGGCTTACATGGGAGACTGGTTCCCAGGAACCCTACGGATACCCAAATCTGTGGATGCTCAATTCCTTCACACAAACTGCCATTCACACATCTTCTCATACGCTTTACATCATCTCCAAGTTAATTACAGTACCTAACATAAAGATGCCATGTAAATATTCGTGGTTTGTATTGGTCAGAGTGTAAAAAAGTATATTTTCATACAGGCACAATTTCTTTTCCAAGTATTTTTGACCCACAGTTGGTTAAATTTATGGAATCCTGCTTTCAGAGGGTTAGCTCTACTAGATTTGCTCACATTACCAACAATGAGGCAGAAAGAGACAGAAGTCCAATTTCATAGTAACGCTTTTTGGCTCCTGTCCCCTGTACTCCAAACATACTGACTTGAAGGTATTACCATTTGCATGTCACTGTACAATTCATGTTTTCATAGATGTTTCACTTCATTAGGAAACAATCTTCACCTCTTGCTGATAGTAAAGCCTTATTTCAAAGATCTATTCCTCTAAGACTGTGGAAACGTTTTCTAAAGCCTGAGCTTAAATCCAAGCTTGTTTCGACCTAATAGGTTTAGAATAAATAGGTACTATCATTCTTATCTTCTGTATAACACTCTTCAGCTAAACGAAGACAACCTTCCAAGTATTTTCAGCTCCTTCACGCTTTTTAAAAATTTATGTTATTTTTTTTGAAAATGCAGATCTACAGAGAGAATGAAAGACACAGAGAAAGATCATCCATCCATGGTTACACTCCCCAATTGGCTGCAGTAACCAGAGCTGAGCCAATCTGAAGGCAGGAGCCAGGAGCTTCTTCCAGGTCTCCCGCATGGGTGCAGGGTCCCAAGGCTTTGGTCCATCTTCCACTGCCTTCCCAGGCCACAAGCAGGGAGCCGGATGGAAAGTGGAGCAGCCGGGACACGATCCAGTGTCCACATGGGATCCAGGCACATGCAAGGTGAGAATTTAGCCAGTAGGCTATTGTGCCGGGCCCTGTGATGTTCTGTTTAAAAAACTAATTCATTAATTGTGAAACCAGTGCATCAAACTGAACCCTGAGTCGACCAAATTCTCTCTTTTCAAGCTTTGAGAATCCCTTTACTAAGACACATTTTCAGGATCAGAACACTGCATTTAGATGTTTCATATATCACAGAGCATTAATATCACTGCTCTTTCAAATTCTTTTTTGCTTGAAAAAGAGGTAGACAGCATTTTCCCACCCTCTGGTTCACTGCACAAATGCCCTCAAACAGTGAAGGTAAGGCTAGACTGAAGCCAGCTCAGAACTCAATCCAGGTCTTGCACATGCATGGCAAGCATGCAACCTCTTGGCCTTCTGCAGTGCTGCCTTCCAGGGTGCAGACCAGCAAGCTGGCATTGGCAATGGGGCCTAGACTCAAACCCAGGCATCCTGCTAGGGGGTTGGGGGTCCCAAGTGCCTTCCTCAACTTCATTCTATTCTAACAGTTTACTTTTCTATCTTGCCCATTAAGTTCCAGGACAGGGCCGACTTCACCTTACCCCGGGTCAGGTTTGATATCTGGGTTAATACCTGTTATTTTAAACAAGTATCCTTCTGTTGGTTCATTCCCAAAAAGTCACAACAGCAGGGCTGGGCCGGGCTAAGGTCAGGAGCCAGTCACTCCATTCTAGCCGCCAAGGCAGACGGCAAGGGCAGGAGGACTTGGGCCATCTTCAGCTGTCTTCCCAAATGCATCTGCAGGGAACTGGATTGGAAGCAGTTTGGGACACAAAGCAGTGCTCCGAATGAGACGCTGGCATCAAAGCAGTAACTTATTCAGCTGTACAACGCTGGTCAAAAAGGGTGTATATATATATATATATATATGTATGTATGTATAAACTTATAAATCTCCAAAACTTAATATGCTGGTAACAGATGGACATACCAGGCTCACAAAAACATAAAAAATTACTTCGTATTTTAAACAATTGTATATTGTTTGTGTGACTGCCTCTTACATTTCTTCAATCACTGTCTGACATTGAAGACACAGTAGACAACCTGTCTTTTAGGAACATGTACTGTGTTGAGGAGACAGAAACAAATCACCTGGTACAACAGCAGAGATCATGAAAACACCGCCTGCCTCTGTACTGGTTCACTCCCCAGATGCAGAACTGGTTCAGGCTGAAATCAAGAAAACCTGGAACTCAAGCTAGGTCTTCCACATGGGTGGCAGGGATCCACCTTTTTCAATCATCACTTGTTGCTCCCAGATATTGCATTTGCAAGAAGCTGAACTGGAAGAGGCGCTGGTAAAACCAAGCACTCCAATATGGGATACAATAGTCACAAGCACTGTGATTGACAACCGTGTCCCACCTCTGCTTTTTATTATCACCCTTCAAGTAAGAATAGCAATGACTAATGAATAAGGATTAAATGGGAAAATATGGTAAGTGCTTGGCCTGATTTATAGTATGTTGCAATTACTAATGGCTGCTTGTTACCTGAACGCACTGGGATCCCATATGGGCACTGGTTCTAATTCCGGCAGCTCCACTTCCCATCCAGCTCCCTGCTTGTGGCCTGGGAAAGCAGTTGAGGACAATCCAAGGCTTTGGGATCCTGTACCCACATGGCAGACCTGGAGGAGTTTCTTGGCTCCTGGCTTTGGATCGGCTCAGCTCCAGTCACTGCAGTGACATGAGGAATGAATCATTGGACGAAAGATCTTCCTCTGTCTCTCCTCCTCTCTATTTGATTTTGCAATAAAAATAAATCAATCTTAAAAAAAAAAAAAGTAGAGGCCCAGCTGATGGCTCAGTGGCTAAATCCTCACCTTACATGCGCTAGGATCCCATATGGGCACGAGTTTGTGTCCTGGTTGCTCCATTTCTCATCCAGCTCTCTACTTGTGGCCTGGGAAAGCAGTCAAAGAGGCCCAAGGCCTTGGGACCCTGCAACCCTGCGTGGGAGACCCAGAAGAAGCTCCTGCCTTCGGATCAGCTCAGCTCTGGTCATTGTTATCACTTGTGGAGTGAACCAGCAGATGCATCTTTCTGTCTCTCCTTTTCTCTGTAAAAATCTAACTTTCCAATAAAAATAAAAATGTTTAAAAAGTAATTAGAAGTGTTGAGTCTTTATAAACAGGTAAGTACAAGGTTGCATGGAACCACATAACAGAAAGGGCTAATCTAGTCAGGAGGGTAAGAGGAGGAATTAGAGAAGCCAGCACGAGTCCTGAGGTTTGTTAAGAGTATCCCGGGGACAGGCAAGAGTGGTATGACTACAAATAGTACCAGAGGACCTGGTTACCCATTAAACAGATGAATTGTAAGAGCTGTTAACAGAATATTTTCGGACTGGCAATTAAACACAGCCCTTAGGAAAAGCTGAATCATGAATTTTTCCATCCGCTGGTTTTCACCCCAGATGGTGGCAAATGGCAAGGGCTGGGCCAGACTTAAGTTAGGAGCTACGAGTCTCTTCCAGGCTCCCATGTGGGTCACAAAGGTTCAAGTACTTGGAACACTATTTGTTGCTTTTCCCAGCCCATCAGCAGGGAACAGGATCAGAAGCAGAGCAGACGGAACACAAACTGGTACCAATGTGAGAGGCTGGTGCTGCAGACAGCAACCTTACCGCTCTGCCACAACAAGTCCCTGTTTTCTACTCTTTGTAATGTCAGTTGTGACTATATGGTGGAAAGAGTATAATGGTGCAGTACCGCACATCCTATTTTAACTCCAGCCTTGATAGGAGTGTTTTTATCACAGGTTCTTTTCTTTCTTTTTTCCCTCTCTTCCCTGGGAGTTGATTATTACAGATTTAGCAACACAACACGTTTGTTAACAGAAGATTGGTTAGGTGTGCAGAATGGATGACGAAACAGTCAAGAAGCTGTTGCAATAACCTGATAAAGAACTGGTACGAAGTCAAGGGCAAATGACTTTGAAATTTCCGGATGGATGATGTTTCCATTTACTGAGAAAGGGAATATAGGAAGTGGAACATGTCTGGAGGAATGACGGTTCATTAGTCCAGAACTAGATAGAGACCAGGGAAATTACTGAGCAGGCACTTGACCTTCAAGTCTGGGAGTAGAGTGACAGAGACAAGAGACACGGATACGGAAGGCATCAACAGCTAGATATTCCTAAGACTGCAGAAACAGCTGAAATCATCCTGTACCAGTGTGAGGACCCTGGTTAGGGGAAAGGAGAAGGGCTGCTGAGCACCCTGGAGATCGGCCAAGAAATAAGAAAATCCCGAAGCTAATGTGAAATAATTCAAGAGTGGAGACTATGTCAAGGGGGGAAATGGTCACACAAAACGAAAAATCAATGTAGAGACAATGAGATGTTAGCCAAGGGTAGTTTCAGATTATTGGGCAGACCTAGGCTAAGAGATAGGAAAAATGAAGTTAGTTTAAGTAATAAAATTTGTACATAAGGCCAAAAGTCTACTAATGTCATATTAGGGGTCGGTTAATATTTATGTTAGAGATGTATTTTTAATGCAGCTATTAATAGTTCTAAGATACAACGTCCAATGTTAAATTAATATAGCAAGCAAACTGTGTGCATGTTATTGTACCACCATGCACCTTAAAAAAAGCTTTTTTTTTTTTTTTTTTAGTGGAAAGGCAGCTATACAGAGAGAAGGAGACACAAAGATCTTCCATCCGCTGGTTCATTCCCCAAATGGACACAATGGCCAGCGTTGACCTGATCCAAAGTGAGGAGCTTCTTCTTGCTCTCCCTCACCTGTGAGGGCTCCTAAGGCTTTGGGCCATCCTCTATTGCTTTCCCAGGCCGTAAGCAGGGACCCAGACATGAAGCAAGGATTTAGCCACTAGGCTATCGTGCTGGGCACTTTATTTTTGTTAAAGCAATCAAATTTTACTGCTTTTCTCATGCAATGTTTTTGCAAGGCACCGTGGTATGAACTTGAAATACTGGAAGGACTTGTGAAGAATTCTTGCAATGACACAAGAAGGATAATATGAAAGTCACACTGAGATCGGATGCTTGACTGTTTCTAATCAGGATATCAAACATCAGGAATGAGTTTAAGTTAAAATTCTCAGGTGATCATTCTACATCATCTTTTTTTCATGTTTTCAACATTGTTTGATTTCTGGACTTGCTGCTCTCTCTCACCTTCCAAATTAATTGACCAAGTCCAGTTGTTTCTCGTAAATATGTCGAAAACGTGTCTCACTGTCTCCATCAATACCTCCCTAATCCAAGTTCCTAGGTGCGCTGCCCTGATTTTTACTATGGCTTTGTAAGATAGCCCTTAATCCATTTTCATATGCCTTCCTCTAGTACTGCTTGTGCCAGCATCTATGCCATACATGGGTAGTTCAGCTGATGTTTTGATAGGATTTCTGCATGAAGGAAAAAATAACTAACATTGTATAGTACTTTTTCATCAAATTCATCTCTGATACTTGACCAGCACTTTCCCTAACAGTGTAATTCTCCACACCATGGCCGCCGGGCTTTCTAAGGTGCTAGTACCATGCCATTCTTCTTTTTTAAATCCTCCATGGCCTGAGTACTCTTTGAAGGAAACAGAAAATACCTAATTAGCAAAATGGCCCAAATCTGTGTTATTCTTCGATCCCGCTGGAAACACTGCACCTTTTGAGAAGTGTCCTTGGATTTCCCAAGGCTCCTAGCTCTGAGTCTCTGAAGGTCTTTTTAGTGGTGCTTTCTTGTTAAGTGTCCTTTTCCTTCACTAACCTTAAACTCCAGGAGGAAAAGACATTTCTGGATCCTTAGCAGAATGTCAGTACCTGTCTGATGAGTGAATGAATGAAGCACTACACTTTCACCAAGTGATTGGAAAACAAAGCATCCCGAGGCTGTTGTTTTGACAGGGCCACATTCACTTATAGGTGAGGAGAGCCTTTCAGTCGCCACATTCTAGCACCATGTTACTTGTGTGGTCTATAAAACAAATTGTTGTCAGGTACCCTCACTATTATGTTTGTTAGGCAGGTGCCAGCAAGTTGCAGGAAAGCTGAACACTTACTGAGTAAACATTGCAGACAGTGTTCAAAGCGCTTTCCAAAGCTGACTTGACAGAACTAACGAATTCTGAATACCCTTCCAAGGAACGAAGGAAAAAGAAAACCAGGGTTTTTATTTCTCAGAAAAAAAAAAAAAAGGGAATTATCTTTCCGATGAACCTCGCTTAAGCCAGGGCTATAAGTGACGATTCCCTCAGGGTCTGTGTGTGACTATGAAACATCCAAATACTTTCCCATGGCAATTCAGCCAGGGACAAGTTGTTGATTTTAACGGGAACAGCGCAGGCTTCAAAGGTGGTCAGCGACTTCATGGGGGGATGAGCTTTCCCTGACGGTGCCGTTCATGTCCCCAAACCTGGTGTCATCTAGAAAACATCCGTGAAAGAGCAGAAAAACGAGGCTGTCCCACTTTCACTAAGGGGCCCTCATCTTGCATTTCATTCAAAAGGTAAACCTTCCCGCGGGGGCGGGGTGAGAGGAGAAAAAAAAAACCAACTGAGGAAACACAAAGGACGAAATGACGCTTCCTGGCTGCAGGCAGAGCAAGTGCCTCCAGGCAGGAGCGGGCTGCCAGCCTCGGAGCTCCCGCTGCCGTCCGCACCCTCCCCGCCCAGGGTTACCTGTGGAAGCTGATGTTAATGTGTTTGTTGTAGGTGGTTGCACAGCCCGCCGCGGCGCAATTGGTCGGCATTTCCCGCTCCCAAGCCTGCAAGCCGAGCACGCACGAAGCCGACCCAGGGCGCTCGGCGGTGGAGAGGGGGCGTGCAGGGCTCACCCCTCCCGGGCTCTTTATTAATATGGCGGGTGAGGACCCCCAGAACCGACCATCCCGAAGCTCCCGTCGCCTGCGTGTGCCTTCAGCAACATGGCTGACAAATAAATCCTTCCCCCCACTCCCCCTCCCCCGCCAAGAAGGAGTACAACTACTCCCGTCTCTGTGGCTACGTTCCCCGGAGCAATGAAAAGATTAAAGGATGACGAAAAGGAACGGCTTCCAAGCCAGTCGGCCCCGAGCCCCGCCCCCGGCAGGACGCACCCGAGGCGCCCCAAGGCGCGAGCCGCAGACCGGAAGCACCCAGCTTCCCCCGAGGCTCGCGCCCCGACCCCTGCGAAGTCGCGTCGTCGGCTTTCAGTCTCGCGTGAGTTTGAAAAGGCCGGTTTCCTGGGAGGCACAGGAAGTGACATCCCGGGCACGGCCGCTTTCCTAGCCCCTTTTTCGCGAAGCGGAAGCAGCCCCCGCGGAAGAGCCTGGGGGCTCCGGGAGAGGGAAGTGGGGAGCGACGATCTGAGGAGAACGATCGGGGCTGCGGGCAGGGTTGGGGGAGCGGAGCCCCGCTAGGTGTCATCGACCGAGTTGTGAGGAAGCAGAGGGCGGCCGTCCGGGACGCTGGAAGCCTCCGCTTCCCGGATGGCGACCGCAGACGCCCCAGCCCCGGCCTCCAGCGGGCTGTCGCCCAAGGAAGAAGGGGAGCTGGAAGACGGGGAGATCAGTGACGATGATAACAACAGCCGGAGCCGGAGCAGCAGCAGCAGCAGCAGCGGCGGCGGGCTGCTGGCGTACCCGCGGCGGAGGCCCGCTCCGGCGGCCCGGGGCGGTGGCTCCTCGTCGTCCTCTTCCTCCTCACGGCAGCCGCTGAGGAATTTCTCCCGGCCGCGGCACGCGTCCGAGCGCGGCCACCTGCGGGGACCCGGCAGCTACCGGCCCAAGGAGCCGTTCCGCTCTCCTCCTCCGCCGCCGCCGCCGGGTCGGCTGCCCCCGAGCTCGCTGCCCGAGAGCAGCCCGCGGCCGTCTTTCTGGGAACGCAGCCACCTGGCCCTCGACCGATTCCGCTTCCGAGGCCGGCCATACCGGGGCGGGAGTCGCTGGAGTCGGGGGCGCGGGCTGGCCGAGCGAGGAGGAGGCAAGCCGGGGTGCAGACCTCCGGGAGGAGGCGGCGGGCAGGGCTGGCGCGAGCCCTCGCCCCCTCGGAAAAGCTGTATCCTTGGAGAGCCGGCTGCGCCCCGGGCACGGTTCTGGGGTTAGTCGTGGGGAGGGCGACTTCCCCCCCCGACCTCCAGAACCGCTGCTTCCTTCCCCCCCCCGTGTGTCCCCAGACTTTGCCAAAGGACGCTCGTGCGTCCCGGCCGTGGTGTCGCCCACGGGCCGGTGTAGCTGACGGGTTTGGCTTGCCGGGGGTGCTGTTCCGTGGCAGGAACGGATTGCGGAGTGGGGCGAGCGAGCGGACTCGGGAGACCGTCAAATCGGATTTGTCATGCTACACCAGACGCCCAGCTTTCGTTGCCATTTGTTTTGTTTTGCTTTTCTGTTTTTCTGTTTTTGTTGTTGCTTTATTTGCTGATACTGGAACTTTTTGTGAAGTTGCCTTCCATTGCATTTCGGATCGCAAATTTCGTTCTGCATCATTTTGTTCTTTTGATGCTGTGTTTTACCTTTCTTGATTTGACCATTGCTGCCTTTTACGTGTTGTAGGTGGATTGGGTGGAGGGAGGGCGAACAGGAGAGACCCGACGTCTTTACCAACAATGTTAAGATTTTTCTTTCAAAATTAGTAAGTTATTTCACAAAGGTTTGCCTTAGTTCACTAAGGACTTGCATTGCTAGTTGTAATAATGAATGGTGTGAGAGCTTTAGAATTATTATATTGGTTGCAGATGGTCTTTCCCAGATGTCTTGGCTTATGGGGCGAGGAATGTGCCTTTAGGTGAGGAAGGTGAGGAGTAGCTTTGGTACCAGTGCTCTGAAAACATGCTTCGCCTGCACGTCAGGTTGAGGAACATTTCAGAATTGTTTCACAAAAAAAATTACGTAGATATTTAACTTTAACAAGACTGTAAACATTTTTTAAGGTTAGAAAACCACTACCCAGAGTAATTTTTCAAAACTCAATGGGTTTTGCTCATTGTCTATTTTGAACCCAAAAAACAAAGCCCATTTAAACATACAAGTGTGTTTTTTGCTATCATAAAGATGAAACTTATCATTTGCATTGGAGAGATGAATTAAAAGAAAAGTAATTAGGATAAAACAAACTGAGATGTCTACAAGGTATTCTGGGCATGCAGAGGCTGTATGGGAGTTGATTGAAGAGGTGAGTGTGCCTGCCCACTCTTGCCAGTCGCAGCCTCTACCATATGCTTCTGTGAGTTTTTGTCCTTATGCTTTTTTATTGATATCCAGGCATATGGTGTTGCCAAAAACAAGTATAGGAAAACAGTTAGTCTGCCTGTGTGAGTTTTGTCCTAACTTGTTAGAGATGAGCCATCATCTATTGTTCTTCTTTTCACAGCTGGTGCACTACTATCATGCTGAGGCTTTTAGATTCCTAATGAGTTGTAAACAAGGGGGAGGCTCTGTCAGATTTGTGTTCTGGAAAGATTTCTCTGGCAGCAGTATGGTTGTAGGATACAGAGAACCCAAAATATCTTAACACCACGGCAGACTCCTGTGTTGTGTGAAACTATGGGAGTGCCTAAGAACCCTCACAATGAAAAGGCAAGTAGAGCTTACTGAAGAGCTCTGCTGTCTGAGGAAGTTGGAGAGAAAGAAGGCAGGGAAGCTGGGAAGGAAAAAAAAGACTTGGAAACCAGGCTCATTGAGAGTTGTGGTTTTAGTTCATTGCATTTGTTTGTTACGGAGCAGTGATTAGTAGTGTCGGGATAATGTCAGATGCCACAGTGGTCAAGTAAAGTGAGAACACTGATGGTGAAGTCCCAGAACGGATTCTGTTGGTAAATAGAATTGGAAGCTAGATTCTGTTCCATCAGCGTGAGCCAGGGTTTCTTCAAGTAACATGGCTCTGTAGACGTCAGAGATGCAAAATCTGTAAGAACAGTTTTGCTGCGGAAGTGAAAGATTTCAGTTGTAGTGCTTTAGTTTCTCAAATGCTTGGTCATGACTTTCATTCTTGACACTTGCCCATTAAAGGCGTTTTAAAGAAAAAACCTGTTAACTACTTCTCCTATTAAAGGAAAGGAGCCATGATACCAATCAGTCAAATAATTTAAATCATACATGGTATAACTCCACAAAAAGTGCTTGTCTTTTCCCTTGCTGATTTCCAGGCTGGAAAAATTAGGTGTAGCAGTTCTCACATGGTTACTGTTATAAGTAAAAATTAGGGTTTGGAGTTTTGTAGCCAGGTCTAAGGAAGAAGTATCTAAGTATCATGTTAGACAAGATAAAAAGTGTCTTACTATGTCCTGTCTTTAAGAGAAAGTTAAGTTAGAAGATACATCGTAAGAACTACTCAGTTTTTTTAAAAATACAACTACTGTAATTTATAATGCGCGTTGTATATTAGTATACTTGAGAGCTCTAAGTGTGTTGTGATCTTAAAGAAGCTGTGTTATGTAATAGTTTACCTAGCTATTTTCCGTGTTCATCTCTTTTTTGCCACAATTTGAGACATGAGTGGAAACTAAAGAGAAGAAATATTTTTTGATGATCTGAGGTATACATTCTCACCTGTGGCAAACCAGTCCGATGCTGCATCTTCAGAAAATCATTACCCTCTAGCACCTTAGGGGCTTGCTAGCTTCCTCCAGTAGTCTCTAGTGGTAGGCTACTTGAGGAGGCAGCTTAGCTGTGGAGACTACCCATGGGGATTTGCTGACACGGTGGTGTTTGTGAGTGGACTGCGTGTGAATACTTATGAGATTGAAATACGTCACGTAATGAAAGGTGAATGTTAGCTCATGTATTAATGAAACAGTAAATTGATTGAATTTTTCTTGAAAAATTAAGGGACATGATTCACCTGTAACATGCATACTTTTCGGTTAAATTTAATTGGACCCTTTTTGGAAACTGGTTTCCTTAATATGCTCCTCAGCCAAAAGTTTTGGAAGATCTCCTTCAAGAAAACAGAATTATTCATCAAAAAGTGAAAGCTGTGGGGAAGAAACTTTTGAAGATTTACTTTTAAAGTATAAACAGATACAGTTGGAACTAGAATGCATCAGTAAGGATGAAAAGCTAGCTTTGAGTAGCAAAGAAGAGAATGTGCAGGAAGATGCTAAAGCATTGAGCCTAGAGGACCAAGCAAGCACCGATAATGCCAGTGTTACTGTGACGAAGGACTCTAATAAAGAAGTAGCTCCAGAGGAGAAAACACAGGTCAAAACTTTTCAAGCATTTGAATTAAAACCACTCAGGCAAAAATTGACTTTACCTGGAGAAAAGAGCCGGTTGAAAAAAGTTAAAGATGGAACCAAGCAGCCTTCCCTGAAATCAGACACTAACGAGTCTAATCAAGGTGAGAGATTTGAATATTTCAATTAGCCTTTAAGGGACTATTGTTTGGTAGTGAACTTTATTGAAATGGCTGTAATTATATGTAAATGTTTTTGTCTTTCTTAATGAGCAAATTATTGAATAGTGGCAAGTTTTATTTTCATTATAGGCTTTGGCTTATTTGTTTTTTTGGCCTGAAGTGCTGACCAGCTCTTAGTAAGGCAGTGGTGAATGGAAGTGATAATGGTAGCACCTTTGTTCCTTATTTACAGGCCGTTGTTTGCCAGGAAACCTGATGCCTGTTAGGGTCTTTGTGGCAGTCTTATTAAGTGCAGGAAGATTTCCACCCAGCTCTCTGCTTTTCCTACTTTGGGATTTTTTTCAGCCTTGAATGGATGTTGAAATTTATCAAATCCTTTGTTTAGTCGTTAACACCTGAGTTGTCTCCTTTATTGGTGTAATGGATTATATGAATTTGTAGTGTTAAATTGCCCTTGTATGCCTGGGACAAATAGTTCATGACATTTTATTTTTAAATATTGAATTTGGCTTGTTACTTATTAAGATAAGATTTTTACATGGTAAAATTCACTCTCGTGAATGCTGCGTCAGGTTTGGACAAATACAGACAGTTGGAAACCGTAACTAGCCGTCACAATTAATCTACAA